TTTAATTTAAAATATTAAATTTTTAAATGGTTTTTATCTTTAACCTATGGGTTATTTGAAAGTGTGTGTTTTAATTTCCAAATATTTAGGAATTATCTAGAATTTTTTCCTTGTTGCTGATTTCATTGTAGTTATAAAATATATGTGTAAGATTTTAATATTTTGAGATATATTATAGCGGAGTATGTAATATATCCTTGTGAACATTTTATTTATACCTAAAAACATGTATTCTTTAATTGGTGAATGTCATTTTATTGGGTTAATTTAATTTGGTCAATGTGGTTGATGGTGGTGATGAGATTTTTTTATACTATTACTGAATTTCGTTTAATAGTTTTATCAATTATAGAGAAAAGGTTTTTAAAATATTCAACTATGATTATAGATGTTTATTTTTCTTTAACTCAGTTTTTGCTTCATATGTTCATATGTTTTAAAGTTCAAAATTAGGTGCATACTTATTTATAGTTGTTATATGTGCTTGATGCAGTCAGTGACTCATGTAATTATGAAATGTACTTCTTTACACTAATCTATTTTTGCCTTATATTAATATGACCACTTGTGGAAGGCTGAATAAATGTCTCTCCCCACCTCAAATACGTTAATATCCTAATCCCTTGAGCTTATAAATATGTTACCTTTTATGACAGATACTTCATAGATAGGATTAAGATAAGAATCTTGAGATGGAGAGATTATGCTGGTGTGTTCATATGGGTTCGGTGTAATCATGAGGGTCCTTATAAGAGGGAAGCAGTACAGTCAAAGTCAGAAAACAGAGATGTAACAGTAAAAGCAGAGGCTGGAGTTACATACTTCGGAGGTGGCAGAAGCTTCAGGACATCAGCATTTCTGCCCCTGACCCCCTCCCCTTTGTTACCCCAGTATAGGGCAGGACCCTCTCTGGGGAAGGACTTAAGACCCACAATCAGAAAGGCAGGGGAAGATTAGAGTCTTGCCTTGAGGCAGATGAAAGGAGGGCAGGAGAAGTCCAGAGGCCTTCCCCTTGAGCCCTGACACGCTCAACATTATAAGAAAGGACTATAACAAGGGCCATAGGAGTTAAGAGCCAGGAACTGTGGATGAAAACCAATAAATAGATATATCATAATACCACCCCAGGGTTATGGATTTTGGGGAACAAACCTTAGTGGTTAGGTGCTTTTATCATTGTATCATATTAGGGGGTACATGATATCAACAAAATTCATCACTGGTGGTTCATGTAGTCAACCCTGTTCATGTGGCAAAAGTGGTATTTGCCAAGATTCTCTACTGAATAGTTACTGTTTTCTTTTATCCATACTTTATTCTTTGGAAGTGAGTCTCTTATCACTGACTACCCTCAAAGATAGGAGAGTTAAATTCCGTATCTTGAATGGGGATTAGCTACATATATTATTTATTATCTTCTGTAAGGAATATTTGTCACTTCTTCCCTATTTATTTACTTGTTTATTTATTTAAATCAGTATGGATTTATATATTTTTTCCCTTTGTGTTATAATTCAGTACTTTCATTTATTTTGTTGTTCATATTGCTCCATTGGGAACTTTTCCAGGTTGGTTCCTGTGTCCTGATATGCTTCTTCTTCTTTTTTTTTTTTTTTATAAACTTGCTTATTTTTTAACATTAAAAGACTAGAAGATCCTCCAAGTTTATTTTGTATTTTCCCTGTCCTGGCCCTAAATTAGCTATTTTTTCAAAGAGCCCTCGATTCCTGTGTTGCTTTCTGATATGATTTGGGATCTGTGTCCCCACCCAAATCTCATGTTGAATTGTAATCTCCAGTGTTGGAGATGGGGCCTGGTGGGAGGTGACTGGATCATGGGGACAGTTTTTCATGAATGGTTTAGTACCATCTTCCTAGAGCTGTTCTCCTGATGGAGTTCTCATGAGATCTAGTTGTTGTTTTTCTTGTTAGTGTTTGTTTGTTTGTTTGTTTTGTTTTTTTTTTTTGAGATGGAGTGTCACTCTGTCGCCCAGGCTGGAGTTCAGTGGCGCAATCTCAGCTCACTGCAGCCTTTGCCTCCAGGGTTCAAGCAATTCTCCAGCCTCAGCCTCCCTAGTAGCTGGGACTACAGGTGTGTGCCACCACGCTTGGCTAATTTCTTTTTGTATTTTTAGTAGAGATGGGGTTTCACCATGTTAGCCAGGATGGTCTCATCTTCTGACCTGGTGATCCACCTGCCTCCGCCTTCCAAAGTGCTGAGATCACAGGTGTGAGCCACCTTGCCTGGCCAATCTGATTGTTTAAAAGTAGGTAGCACCTACCCCGTCTCTCTCTTGTTCCTGCTCTGGCCATGTAAGACATTTCCCTTTGTCTTCCACAAAGACCGTAAGTTTCTGAGGCCTCCCCAGAAGCAGATGCCACTATGATTCCTGTACATCCTGCAGAATCTAAGCCAATTAAACCTAATTTCTTTATAAATTATCCAGCCTCCGGTATTTCTTTATAGCAGTGCAAGAATGCACTCATACACCTTCCTTTTTTAAAATGATCTTAATCATTTTTAAAGCATACAATTTAGTAGTGTTAAGTATTACTGTGGACTGAATGTCTCTCCCAAATTCATGTATTGAAGCTCTAATCCTCAGTGTGACTGTATTTGGAGATGGAGCCTTTACGGAATTAAGGTTAAATCAGGTCACAAGGGTGGGGTCCTGATCTGATAGGATTAGTGTCCTTTTAAGAAGAGACACCAGAGCCCACTCTCTTTCTCCCCTTGTGTACACACTGAGGAAGGGCCCTTGAGGATATAGTGAAAAGTCTGCAACTCATGAGGGATGCATTCTCCAAACACCAACTCTGTTGGCATCTTGATCTTAGATTTTCAGTCTGTGGAATGATGAGATAATAAATAAATTTCTGTTGTTCAAGTCACCCAGTCTATGGTATTTTGTTGTGGTAGCCCAAGCAAGGGAATATAAGAATATTCACATTATCGTGCACCACATCTCCAAAACTTAATCACACTGCAAAACTGAAACTCTGTACCCATTAAGCAACTTGCTTTTCCCTCGAAACTTCTGTCAGAAACCATTGTGCTTTCTTTGTCTATGAGTTTAACTACTTTAGATACCTCCTATTCTAAGTGGAATCCCACAGTATGTGTCTTTTTGTGATCACTTCATTTTACTTAGTATCATGTTTTCAAGGTTCATCAGTGTTGTAAAGTATGACAGGATTTCCTTTCTAAGACTGAATAATATTCCATTGTAGTTATAGACAACATTTTGTTTGTTTTGCCTTCATCTTAAGGGTGTGAAAATTTGTTCTCACAGGCAGCTAAACTATTGTTGACTTTTTTCGGTTAGTGCTGCTAAGCAATGCGTCACCTCTGTTCTCTCTGTTCAGCTCTTGGCCCTGCAGGAACTATCTCAGCTTGGACTTGCAGAGTTCTGTCCTGTCTCTGTGCAGCCTAGCACTTAGCCACAGACATATGGGGAATTCCCACATGGTCTTCAGGGTCTCTCTTGTGAATTACCCTGCCCTGCAAATTCCAGCCATTTAAGCAGCTCAAAACTCCAATCTCTGCCTCCTCTTTTTAGTAAGACTGCTGTTCTGTTAAGAATTCGTTTTTGCGCTCTGTACTAGAAAGTGGTCCAAGAGGCCAGGCACAGTGGCTCATGCCTGTAATCCCAGAACTTTGGGAGGCCAAGGCGGCCAGATCACCTGAGCTCAGGAGCCTGGCCAACATGGCGAAACCCCATCTCTACTGAAAATACTAAAATTAGCTAGGTGTGGCGGCAGGCACCTGCAATCCCAGTTACTCAGGAGGCTGAGGTAGGGTGAATTGCTTGAATGTGGGAGGCGGAGGTTGCAGTGAGCCAAGATTGCGCCATTGCATTCCAGCCTGGGCGACAGAGTGAGACTCTGTCTCAAAAAAGAAAGAAAGAAAAAGAGAGAGAGAGAGAGAGAGAGAGAGAAGGAAAGAAAGAAAGAAAGAAAGAAAGAAAGGAAGGAAGGAAGGAAGAAAGAAAGAAAGAAAGAAAGAAAGAAAGAAAGAAAGAAAGAAAGAAAGAAAGAAAGAAAGAAAGAAAGAAAGGGTGATTCTAGATAGAAAGCTGTGGCGATCATAGCACTCACCTTTGTGTGTTCTTTCAAGGATCACAGTGCTGCCTGTGTGTTCCTGAAAATAGCTGCCTCGTGTATTTTGCCATGTGTAATATAATATTTTGATTGGAAAGTAAGTCTAATGCCATTCTGTCATAGCTGGAAGCAGAAATATATTTATTTTTATTAATTTGTACTCCCTGTTTCTCTTCTCTTTCTTTGATCCTTATACAGTCTATCCTGATGATCTTATCCATTCTTGAGTTTTAATACCCTATTTTCCTTACACTTTATTAACTTTTAACATTTTATTAACTTTTAACCTACTAAAAATAAGTTACTAAGATGTTAGAATGTATTCGTTTACTTTGCTCTTCTTTTTAGTTATCTTTGCGTGTAAAAATAAGATAACAAAGAGAAAATGTCATGGAATTTCTGACACTGCGAAGGGTAAAGACGATAGCACAATTCAGACAATGTTTTGGGGAAGGCATGGTTATGTCTTATTCACAAACATATATCTAGGCAATAGTCAGTTTCTCCCGTGATTCCAGGCATAAGCACCCAACAGTCCATTTCGTTATTGCTCATCACCGCCCCAAAATTCCAAGAAATGATGAAATCAGTCTCATTTGGCATACAGCTACTTTTTCAGAAGGAAACAAAGCAGAGAAAAAAATCTGAGATAAATTCATAGCTAGTAACCACTCTCACTGTTATTCTAGCTTTTGTAACTGAAATTGCTGGACTTAAGAGCAATTTTCCCTTGCTCAACAGAATTAGGTGACATGGGGAATCAATATATATTTAATGAGCATCGAGAGTGTCATGGAGCAAAAAAATAACAACTTAAAATATTAATTTCTATAGGTAGCGTCAGTATTTGAATCATTTCCTGAAAAATTACTTCTGCTTTTGTTTCCTGCTGGCAGTTTAGAGATTGGGCTGTTTCTTCACTGATACCTGTCCCTTCACACTTCTATAATTTAACTCTCTCAACTGCAGGTGAAAGATCGCTGGAGATGACTGAGAGTGTTATTTATTCTATGATAGAGTTGCCTACTGCAACCCAAGCCCAGAATGACTACGGACCACAGCAAAAATGTGAGTTAACCAAGACAGCGTGGAAGACGATGAATAGCGACAGTAGGCTACGGATGAGTGGGGAATAGAATAAGTTTGAAGCAGATGGTGCAGAAAAATCGAGGATAATTTGAGGAAATACTTTTGGTTCAGTTTGAAGCCCAGAGATGGAATATGAAAAGTTGGTTTATGGTACAGGATCTGATGGTAGGTCTAAGGCAAAACTTTTTTCTAGCCATTCACTTCTTTGATCCCCTGTAAGAAACCCAACCTAGGGCAATGCCATTATTCCTTCTTGCTCCTAACTAAAGCAGAAACTTTGTTGGGAGAACGTTATCTTTGGTTATATTTGGAGTAACCTTGGACCAGCTGTTTAAATTCTAGGTATGGCTGTTTTTCTGACTATGGAATGAGGAGGACACCAATAGTTATTCTGGTGGATAATACTAAGATTTTTTTCAGGAAAGAAATTGATTTACATATCTAGATTTTTTTTTTTTCCGACCTCACAGTGTTGCACTAGGATGGAGACAGGGAAGAAAGGTATCAAGAACACTGCAGATAATAGTCTCTGTGATTGAGGATTTGAAGACAAAAGAGCCATTTTTATGTAGAGTCCTAAGAGAACATTATCTGAGACAGACAGGTAATAGTGTAAATGCCAAAATTTATCCTTGATTTTGTATCTTAGGCAGTAAACTTCCACAAGGTATATTCTTTAGGGTAGTTTCCTAAGCTTTCTCTCTTTTTACTACACAGTTTTACTATTATAGTTTGTAATGTCTTTTGAGAGTGTTGTCTTAATTTGCTAAATCATTCTAGTACGCTTTATTTGTGTAATCTTTTCCTATTTTTGAACTATATCTGTGTTAATTTCTAAGGAATAGAAATACTAAGAAGTAATGTTCATATCAAAGTATATGTTCAAGGTCACACACACAACTGGTGATAAATTGGAACCTCATTGGAACTATTTAGAGGCTTTTAATATACACTTAAAGTAAATTTTAAAAATTTATTTTACTTTCTTGAATTGGTTTGTCATTACACAAATACAATTATGCTTTGATACCTTTTTAAAATTTAGCATAACACAAAAATGAACATTTGTGTATTTCATTAAATGTTCTTCTGTGATGCAATGTAGTTTTAAAAGTTTTATTAGAAATCTAGTGTTTTTGGATTTATCAGTCCAAATATTTATTATACAGTATTCTCTCTTTATGAAGGCATCTCTCATTATGATTGTTTTTTTCTTTAAGAAGTTCAGAATAATCCATTGATACCCACATATATAGAATAATTTATCTAAAATTTAAACAAGAAATTGAAGGCCAAATAGGCAAGTTTAATTCCTAATTAAAGGCTGTTAAACAAAGGAATCAAAATTAGAACTTCAATATCATCTTAATTTACTGAGTTTTGCTCATTACATGTAATTTCTATGACTGTGAGATACCTTCAATTTTCAAATAAAGATTTGGCAACTTACTGCTCTTTTAATCACGACAGTTTACAAAGCACTTCTGAAATGTAGATTATTTTTATTTAAATTTTATGTATTTCAATTTTGAATAGATAATGTGTTTACATGGTTCAAAAATCAAAAGGTACAAAAGAAAATAAGGTAAAAATTCTTTCCCATCTTGTCTCCAGTGACCTTTTTTTTTTTCCATTCCAGAGGCAAACAATGTTATCAGATTCGTGGGTGTGCTTGCAGAGATATTTGCATACCCTGTTCTGCAGATGTTTCTCTGTCTTAACTATATATCTCACAAAATATTCCATATGAGTTAAAAAAAAAAGCCAGTCTTTATTAGAAGCTGTGTATTCACTTTATGGATACATCAAAATGCAGAATTTAGATTGTATTCAGTCTATTCCTCCTACAATTATTGCTGCCACGAATAAACATGTATCTGTAGGAAAATTTTCTTAAGGAGAAATTTCTAGGCCAAAGGGTAAATGCCTTTGCCGTTTTAGTAGATATTGCCAAGTTACCCTCCAAAGAGGTACTAATTTGTATTCTCACCACCTAAGGATGAGACGGTGTAAGCCACAATGTCAGAGGAAAAAAGCATTCTTTAACTTGATAAATAGAGTATGTTCCTCGATACAGGTGTTGGTGGTTACCTTAGACTTTAGAGCAAGTCCCTGACACATCCAGAAAAGGAGTCTTTATGGCGCAGATCTCAGTTCCCGCTAGGCCAAATGGCTTTCAGGTGCGGCATCCTTCCCTGACTTTCTCTTTTCTTCAAACCTTTCTTCCGACTCAGGATTGTGCTTTGACTCTGTTGTTGCAGCTTCTTCTTCCAGGCCTTCTCGTTCTTGCCTTGTGGCAATAGCTTTGGGGCTTCTGACTGCAGTTCTTATGAGTGTGCTACTACACCAGTGGATCCCGTACCAGGGTAAGTGCAAACTTAACCCCAAATTCCTCTTTCACGTTATATTATAAAAGCAATATAACACAGCAGGAAGTTTGAAAAATCAAAATAATTCAACGAAATAAATCACCGTCTGTACACAGCTATTTCCTGGGTATAGCCTCCTCATCTTTGACCATGCGCATTCATGTAAGCATGTATGTTCTTCCTTTTTTTTTTTTCTTTTTTTTTTTTTAAAGACGGGGTTTCACCATGTTGGTCAGGCTGGTCTTGAACTCCCGACCTCAGGTGATCCGCCCACCTTGGCCTCCGAAGTGCTTGGATTACAGGCGTGAGCCACCACGCCCGGCCAGCATGTAGTTTCCTACCTTACTTGGTGCCTCCGCGGCTTGGCGGCCCTTTGCATCGGCCACCTCTCCCCCACCCCACCACCCAGCGCGGGTCCCAGCGCCGCTCCCCGCAGCCTTTGCTCTGCTCTTTTCCTTTTGTTTTTCAAAGGCTCTCCCTCCTGTCACCCAGGCCGTGGGTGACAGATTTGTGTGCTGCCTACCAGTGGATCCTGTGCCACTCACTGTACAATCACAGCTCACTGTGGCCTTGACCTCCTGGCTCAAGTGATCCACCTCAGCCCCCTGAGCCGCTGAGACCACAGGCACATACCACCAGGCCTGGCTAATTTTTGTATGATTTTTTTTTTTTTTTTTTGTAGAGACATTTCACCATGTTGCCCAGCCTGATCTTGAACGCCTGGGCTCAAGCCATCTGCCCTTCTTGGCCTCCCAAACTGTTGGGATTATAGGCGTGAGCCACTACACATCCTTTCTTTCTTTTAAAGGAATGCTGGGAATAGTTCTGATGGTAGCATACTCATAATTTTGGATATTGCTTTTTAATTTTATGTTGCCAGAAACATTTCCTGCTTAATTCCATATTTATTGTGATAATTAAATTATAATATTAGTGATGTTTGACTTTTCATTAATAGATATGTCATAATGTAATTAAACATATTCTGTTTTTTTGTTTGTTTGTTTTTGCCACTGAGGTGCTTTCACATTTTCTAAATTGAATTTTTCTAAGTTTAGTTCTTTTAGGCCTTCAAACCTAGTGATCTAGAGAGTTCTCAGTTTATGGTTTCACAGTCTAGAGTCCTAGCTTAGGTTTGTGTTTTTAGGGGATGATAGTGACAGATTATACAAAAGTGATTTATTAGGATTCTAAGAGTTCAGCTCCAGGGTTTCTACCTCAGATCCAAGTCCGACCTTTGACAAAAGGAAACACCCAGGGAAGTTGGGAATTTCTAATCCAGGCTGAGCAATGTCACAGCTGTATGGAGAAAGCGCAGCTCTCTCAGGTGCCAATGTAACAGCTTGATCTTCAGAACTTATATTGGTTGCATGCCAGGCCTTCTTAGAGAATAATTATCTAATCTTTATATGAAAAGTACTACTTTTCCCACTTTGTAATTCCCAAATCTAGAATAGGTATATGCTCGATTCTGTAATTATATATCTACGCACGTGCTCATGGGGTATAATGGCTCATACTTGCTCACTATAGAATTGTGCTTATGGTGAGTTTATGCAAATATGTGGAAGCATGGAAACGCAGGTAGAAAATCAATAGAATTTTGGAATCTTGGTTGGGATTACCTTGAAAGTGTATTCGGTTCCCTTTCATCTTTGATTGTTTGCTTTTGAGACAGTGCCTCTCTCTGTCACCCAGGCTGGAATGCAGTATTGTGATCTTGGCTCACTGCAACGTCTGCCTCCTGGGTTCAAGTGATTCTCATGCCTCACCTCCCAAGTAGCTGGGATTACAGATGGGCACCACCACACCTGGCTGATTTTTTTGTATTTTTAGTAGATACGAAGTTTCACAATGTTAGCCAGGCTGCTCTTGAACTCCTGGCCTCGTGTGAGTCACCTGTGCTGGCCTTCCAAAGTGCTGGGATTACAGGCCTAAGCCACCATGCCTGGCCAGTTCCCTTTCATCTTGACAGAACTATGAGCCAACCATTTTAAAGGAATGCAGATCTTCCATATTTAAGAGCTCAGTTAGGGCATTCTATCACTTTTCACTTTAACACTGTTACGCTTCTCTACCAGAAAAGCCTTCAGAAAAATATTAGTTCTTTTTGCCAAAATATAAGTGTTTTCTTTTTTTTCAAATTTTCAATGGTGAGAGACAGTTACATCTGTGATAATAAAAAAACAAAACTTTTCATTCTGGTTAAGTTTGCTTTTCCTAGTTTTTCTTTTTTTCTTTCTTCTTCTTTTTTTTTTTTTTTGGCATTTTCAGTTGGGCATTCTGGATCATTCTGCCTGATTTAAGGAATATACACTATGCAATTATGCAATATATACACTGAGCAAAGACAGTACACAGATCCATATCATGCAAATGCACAGTTGTCTGGTGCATTTATATCACATGTGCACAGAGATCTCTAGCAGCAGTACAGTGCCTGCTCCAGAGTTCTGAGGCAGCTCGTTCTACGTTTTCTTCTCTGTTCCTTCAGCGATAGCCACATTCTTGTGTAGTAGAATATATACTAGTAGATGGTGGGGTTGGACATCATGAGGTATTCAAATTGAGAATATGCGTTGTTACACATTTCTCTAACCCTCAATCTGAAAAGTGGTGGAGCAGGGAAGACCCAGGCCTGCCAGATTCCATTTTATCTCCCATTTGATTTCCAAGACTGAGTGGTCTGTGAAGATGTGAACCAGGCCCTCTTCTTTCCTAGGCTCCAACTACTCCACTTTCGCCAGCTGTCCTAGCTGTCCAGACCTCTGGATGAGATATGGTAACCATTGTTACTATTTCTCAGTGGAGAAAAAGGACTGGAATTCTAGTCTGCAATTCTGCCTAGCCAGAGATTCACAACTCCTTATCATAACGAGCAACGAGGACATGGTAAATGCCAACATTTAGAAAATGTCGGGTTTTGTTTTTCTTAACTACTGTTTAAATGTATCATGTATCCTCTTTTGAGGAACAGAAGGAATCTGTGATTTGGGGGGATACTGTATTCTTCCCCTTCCCTCTTGTTCTCTTTCCTCTTCTACTTCTGCCTTCTTCCCTCTCCTTCCCCGACTCTTTACCCTTATGCTGCCTGACCCAACAAACTTCAGTTACAGCAACCCAGATGCTTGCAGAGCATATTAGTGTGTATGTGGCGGGAGGAGGGAGGAGGAATTAGATCTGAAATACAGGTATAACTAAAACAAGTCTTAGGTCCGGAAACATGCAGGTCCAACAATGAAGAGGCAGCAGACTTTTTTTTTTTTTTAATTGCATTTTAGGTTTGGGGGTACATGTGAAGAACATGCAAGATTGTTGCCTAGGTACATACATGGCAGTGTGATTTGCTGCCTTCCTCCCCCTCACCTATATCTGGCATGTCTCCCCATGCTATCCCTCCCCAACTCCCCAACCCCTGTCCCTCCCCCATTTCCCCTCAACAGACACCAGTGTGTGGTGCTCCCCTTCCTGTGTCAGATTTTTATACGGTGGAATTTGGGAGGGAGGGAAAGATAGAGATTACGGGGACAGAGTGATTGTGGCAAGGTCTTGAAGGCCTTCTTTGAAAATGGTTTCCCTTCATTCACTGGAATCCAGGAAGTTCCAGACTCCATGTCCAGAAAGTTGGGAAACAAGGAAGGAAACGTGTGTGTGTGTGTGTGTGTGTGTGTGTGTGTGTGTGTGTGTCTCGGCCTCCACTTCCTACAGTCCCCTCAGATCCTTCCTATCCACCCAGCAATCTCTTGGAAAACAACTTGGTATTAGTCCTAGACCATCTCAAGGCAATACAAGGAATTGACATCCTGAGGTTGCCTGGTATAAATATCAATCAAATCCTAATTTGTCAACATAAATAACATCTTTTGTGCTAATTTAATACTGATTTTTGTGTTTTGTTATTGTTTTCTGTTTTCTTTTTGGGAATAGACTCTAGCCACAGAGAACAATTTATTGAGAATTAAACTATGTTAACTTACCTTGGGAAAAATCCAGAGGTAGTTACTCTAAAGCAGTTGGGAAGAACACATATTTCCTAAATTTTATAACTACCTATATAGGTACACACACAGGCCATATAGATTCTTGTTTTCTGTCAAAGGAACACTTACTCCTTTGGAATTCTACATAGAATCTAAACTCTAAATTTTTCCTCATTTGTGACTTACACTTTTTTTAATGCCTTCTTTAAGTGAGGTGGCAGAATGCATTGAGGTCTACTCAATAGACACGGGATCTTTTATGGCCTCTGGCAATACAGCCTTGCTTTCTGGACCTTGTAGAAACTCCTAGTCTCATTCTGATATAGTGACTGAGGATTTGAGCTGACTTATGTTAGTAGCAGAAGTGAGCCATGACCTTGAAACATTGTGGGCAAAACTGATAAACAGGAGTTATGAGTCATAGCACAAGACGCTGCTACAGAAAATTGTGGTGCAGTAGCTACTATAAATTTCACAGTGTGATCATGAGAGGCAGGGAGGGAAAAGATGAAGCGCACAGAATATCTGGGAAAATAGCAATATTTCTGTTTCCGTGAGGTACGCAGAAGAAGGGCAGGATCATTAGAGGGATTCCTTCCTTTCTTTCCCTACATGCCCTGGTTCCTGAGACTAGTGTTGAGCAAAACAGTAGAGTTACATTCACTGGATTTCCAAATTGAGTTTATTTTTTCTTAAGGCTCTTTGGGGCCAAGTCAGTGCTGGAGAGGGTGGAATGTCCCTGCTAGATGTCGTAAGTTTTACTTTTGACATTCCCGTGGAATCTTACTTGATTCTCTGGTTTAATTCTTTTTCTGGGCTCCAGCTTTTGTCAGATCCTGTAGAACCAAATTGACTTTTATGTGACCTGCTGAGTCTCTTGTTCTAGTGTTATTATTCTTTTTTTATTATTCTTTTATTATTTATTTATTTATTTATTTTTTATTATTTATTTTTTTATTATTCTTCTCAGGGCAAGATTTACCTACTATTTTGAGGTATGTGCAATGTTTCCAGTATCAGACTGGGGTCTGAGCCACTACCAAAAAAAGCAAAAAATAAAAATAAAAATGAGAGCTCTGTGGATCTATTAAAACTGAAGTTTTTCAAACTGGCATTCCATTGGTGGAGAGTGCTGCTGGAGAATTTGGTTGTTATATGTAGAATCTACAGGCCTGTGGAAAATATCCCTGTCATGCTGTTACACAGTAGTCTTTCAGTGAGATATTTAAGTAGAGTTCACCTCCTATCTTAGATCACTAACAGTAAAATGTACAGTAATAACAGAGGCTACCATGGATTGAGCACCTGCTTTTTGCCAGGTGTTTTAGGTATAGTATTCCTTTTTGTGTGTGTGTGTGAGAGAGATGGAGTTTCACTCTTGTTGCCCAGGCTGAAGTGCAGTGGCACGATCTGGGCTCAGTGCAACCTCCACCTTCAGGGTTCAAGCGATTCTTCTGCCTCAGCCACCCAAGCAGCTGGAGTTACAGTTGCCCACAACCACACCCAGCCTTTTCTTAATCATCACAGCAATTCTAAAAAGTAGAGTTCAACATCCCCATTTTGTTGGTGAATGAATAAAATCCAGAGGAACTGGCTGGGTGTGGTGGCTCCTGCCTGCCATCTAGCACTTTTGAGAAGCTGAGATGGGTGGATCACTTGAGGTCAGGAGTTCAAGACCAGCTTGGTCAACATGGTGAAACCCTGTCTCTGCTAAAAATACAAAAATTAGCTGAGTGTGGTGTCGCACACCTGTAATCCCAGCTTCTTGGGAGGCCGAGGCACAAGAATCACCTGAACCCAGGAGGTGGAGGCTGCAGTGAGCCAAGACTGCACCACTGCACTCCAGTTTCAGCAGCAGAGTGAGACGCTGTCTCAAAAAAAAAAAAAAAAAAATGAATGAGTATAAGTCCAAGGCTACAAATCTGGCAGAGCCAAATTTTAAATTCCACTTTGGTGGGCACAATGGCTGACACCTATAATCCTAGCACTTTGGGAGGCTGTGGTGGGTGGATTGCTTGAGCCCACAATTAGAGACCAAAAAAAAATATTGATCTCAGAACAGAGGACAGAAGAAGCTGGGAAGGGGAGGTTAGGGAGAATTATGTTAAAGGATACAAAATTACAACTTCAGTGATCCACCCAGCTTAGCCTTCCAAAGTGCTGGGATCACAGGCGTGAGCTGTGCTGGCTCCTCTCTCAACTTCAGAAGAGCAGCTCTTTATTTGTGCCGGTGCAGGGTCCAAGGAGGCAAAGAGAGACAGTGAAGAGCAGAGCCCATAAATTCTTACTCTTCAGCAACCATCTTCTAGGAGTGGAATAAAAATGACATCAAAATGGGACATCTGGTGATATCATAATAACCACAGGCAGTTGAATTGTATTGCTCTCTTAGTAGTTTCTAGATAAAAAGAATATTTTATTCTAAAGGTATTTAACTAATTAAGCTGTCATTCAAAAATATTGAAAATATAATTATTAATTACACCAACATTAAAGCCTACAACAAAATTAACCTTGGATTATCTTTTTAACCTTTTATTTTAATCTATTAATATTTTATTTCATTTGTAGAGACAATTCTCTTAGGATATAAACTTCTTCATTTGAATGTCAGATTTTGCAGATCAAAGCATCTTTTATCTCTGTTCTTTTGGGTAACGTGGCACACAGAAGTGGTGTAGCCAATTTAACTTTACCTTAAACTGTGCCCTTAAGAACTGTTTTTTTCTTGCCATATACAAGATTGATGAGGACATGGAAAATGAGACTTCTGCAGGGGGGAAAAACCAAGAATATTGCTATAGGCTTCATCATAATTTATGTATTTAATGATGATGGGAGAAATGACCACTTCTGCAGCAAATGTTTAGCTGCTGCTGCTGCTGCTTTTTTTTTTTTTTGATAATCTGAATACCTATCAGGTGCTTTCTTTAATTAAGGAGAAAATTGCAATGGAAAGTAGAGATGTAATATTATCTTGTAAGAATAATATTACATATAATATAATATATGTAAGAATCTGGTTACAGATATATAATAATATTACATATAATATAATATTGTAAGAATCTGGTTACAGATATATAATATTATTATTATAGTATTACATTATAATATTATTATAGTATTATATAATAATACTATTATTATAATATAATATAATAATAATATTATATTATATATAATATTATTATATATTATAATATTATTATATATAATAATAATAATCTGGTTACAGATATATATTATTATATTATTATATTATAATAATAGTATTATTATATAATACTATTATAATATTATAATATATAATAATTAATAATATTATATATAATATTATTATTATATATTATAATATTATTATTATATATAATAATAATCTGGTTACAGATATATAATAATATTACATATAATATAATATTGTAAGATTCCGGTTACAGATAGAAAGGTCAATTTTAGGACGCTGCTGCTCTCTCTGTTAATCTTTAGAATTAGACGTTAAATGAGAAATTAGTTATTTATAGTGAATGGTTGTCTTAGCTTGGGCTGCTGTAACAAAGTACCATAGACTGGGTGGCTTGAACAACAGATGTTTATCTCCCTCAGTTCTGGAGGCTGGAAAGTCCAGTATCAAGGTTCTGTGGCCCCTAGTGGGGACCCACTTCTGGCTTGCACATGGCTGCCTTCTTGGGCACTAATTGCATCACGAAGGCCCCACCCTCATGGCCTCATCTAAACGTAATTACTTCCTAAAGGCTCCACATCCAGATACCATCACACTGGGGGTTAGGGCTTCAAAATGTTGATTCCAGGAAGACACAAGCATTCAGTCCTTAAGAGCCGTGATGATGGAGGGTGTAAGGAATGATAGTTTGTCTTTTAATTAACTACTTAAGTTAGTATTAGGAATCCAGTGTGGAAAGGAACAATTGTTTGACTGTGACACGAGGTCCCTGTGTCGGTTTTCAACCTCTCCCTTAGAGCCTGGTCCAGGGTTTCCTCAGTGAAGCCTTTTGGTGGATCGGACTGAGGAACAATTCTGGCTGGAGGTGGGAAGATGGATCACCTCTAAACTTCTCAAGGTAAGGGGCTTCAAAGGAGGGAAAAGAGAAAGGGAAGAAAAAGGGAAGACAAATTATGTTACTTGGGGAATAGATTAAGAAGAGCAGATGGAAAGGAGAGGAAAGAGTGAAAAGAAGAGAAAATAGGGAGCAAGGAGGAGAAGGAACAATGGGTGACGACAAAAAGAAAGGATGACGTTTTAAAGAGAGGCTGATGAACCATGTTTATTCTTCTGCTGTTTGCGGGAACTAGGGACCTGAATAAGGAAAAAGAATTTGCTCAGTTTTTATCCTTTCATGCCTTTCAACCCTTTTTCTGTGCATGTGGCCTTAAGTGATTAACTTTTCTGAATTCTTACAGGATTTCTTTTAATAGTTTAGTGCAGACATGTGGTGCCATCAACAAAGATCTTCTTCAGGCCTCAAGCTGTGAAGTTCTTTTACAGTGGGTGTGTAAGAAGGTCAGACATTGATGGATGGCCACTCGTCCTGACCCTTGGATCTGTCATGGAGCCCTAAAAGGACGGAGCCGGCCACCGGATGTTGGGAAAGCCATGAGCATATGGTTAGCAAATACTGGACTTTCTCAGATATGGCATTACATGCAAGACATCCTCCTAGGGATTGATGCCTAACTGATGGATTCTCTTGGAGACTATTTAGATATGTGAACAATTTAAAGACCAGATCTAAGCAAACTTTTGAAATAGATAAGTTTGTTTTTTGTATTTCTCAGTATGCCAACTAATGTTGCTGCCTTCATCCCCTGCCCAACCATCTCTGTCAAAAATACATCTTTTTCATATTGTATTCTGAGCTAATCTGATAAAATCTATGCCCATATATACTATCGCTTATGTACTAGAGAAGTACGTTATTACTCTTCTAGTACATTGCCAATCCCTAGCGGTATACTTTTATCGTAAGAGTGATCTTTGCAGATCAAACTTTATTCTAAAGAATAAACCTAGCCATTTCTCTTGAAGCTTGGCGGTTCGGGGCTTGGCGGTATCTGCTGTAGTCACGAGGGATGAGCGGCGGCCTGGTTGGCAGCGAGTAGCCTGCAGCATTCGCCCGTGGTTACGATGAGTTTACCCCTCAATCCCAAACCTTTCCTCAATGGACTAACAGGAAAGCCAGTCATGGTGAAACTTAAGTGGGGAATGGAGTACAAGGGCTACCTGGTATCTGTAGATGGCTACATGAACATGCAGCTTGCAAATACAGAAGAATACATAGATGGAGCATTGTCTGGACATCTGGGTGAAGTTTTAATAAGGTGTAATAATGTCCTTTATATCAGAGGTGTGGAAGAAGAGGAAGAAGATGGGGAAATGAGAGAATAGCATATTTTGTGGGAGATTTTTTTTTTTCCCTGACCCCAGCCCCCGGGATTTTTTTTTTTATATATATATTTCTAGACAATAAAGATTTGTTTGCTCTTCAAAAAAAAAAAAAAAAAGAATAAACCTAGCTGGGCATGGTGGCGTGTACCTGGAATCCTAGTTATTTGAGAGGCTGAGGTGGGAGAATCGCTTGAGCCCAGGAGTTTGAGGCTGTAGTGAGCTATGATTGCACCACTGCACTCCAACCTGGGAGACCCAGCGAGGCTCTATCTCTAAAAAAAAAAAAATGCTAATGTTGAGAATATAAATTGTGGAAAGTGAGTGAGGGCAAGGTGGTACTTCCTCTGTCTTAGTCTTCACACTTGATGAAAAAACCTGGTCCTGGTTGATTTTTTTTTTTTTTTTTTTTTTAGTATGCGTAGATGTGGTTGAATAAACCAACGTATAATCATATCTTTTCTATTCTGTGAACATGTGACCTGCATATTAATTTCAAGATAGCAATGAATTTGATAATGCATTTTCGTAGAGGAAAGTTTGCAGAGACAGTTTATGTGGTTGGATCACCAAATTATCTTAGGCACTAATGCCTCAAAAATAAGGAAAACTTTATTATTTCTCCTTAGTAGAGTTTAGACATACATAAGGATAGAGGTGCAGTAATTCTTTTTGTCTTTATCTTTCATAGTTTTTTTTTAAAAACATGGACTATATCTTATCTACCACTGTATCCCGAATACCTAAGATAGTGCTCACATTCAGTGACTATTAAATAAATAAATGGATGAATAAATAAGAATGAAAACTATTCATTCTGGTTGTTTCTGTTAGTCCATAAATTAGAGGAATTAAAGAGGAGAAAAACAGTATATCCTAATCCCCCCAACCCACCCATAAGGGTCTTCAGTAGCTAACTCTGAAGACACAAAGGGCCAGTTAATCTGGATACAATGCTCACAGAAGGAAGTCGTGGAAACAAGCTCCCCTCCCTAAGGATGTGACGATAGTGATTCCATGTGGGCCATGGCTTGGCTACCTCAGAGTACACAATTTCATTTACTTATTGAAAGATAAGAACAGAACTACAGTTGGGTCTTAAATTTTCACCTGAGCAGGCAGGATGTGTGCAGTCCTCCTCTGTGACTAAGGTTCAGGCCTTTAATAAGGATTTATCCACCTATCATCAGAATTGGGTGTAGTTCCTCACTGCTTGGTCTCCCTTAAGAATGTTACAAGGGAAGGAACAGTTTACTTTCTGGTTGCTTATTTATTCCTTAGACTTATTTATGAGGGGCTGGGATCAGTTAGTAACTCAATTCTTGCGCCTTCCCTAGTGAAATAAAGTTTGGTAAAACTAGAAACTAATGTTTTTGATTAGCACTTACATTGCACAGCAGACGCCTTTGATGAACGTTATCCATTAAACATATCTGGAACATTCAGTGTTTGGAATAACACATTTATTAAAGATAATAACAGAGCAGTCACAAAATTGAAATGAAGAAAATCCAGGAACATACAGGAGGAGTTGGGGCAAGAAGCCGCCACTGATTGTCCCCCTGCAGGAACACAAATGGAACAATTGCCCGCGCAAGAAAGCACCTTCATAAGAACCAAACATCAGATAAGCAATTACAGTACCTGATTTTAACACCGTATCAACGAAAGACGCACTGAAGGGGGCAGGAGAGACAGTCTTGAATTGCCAATGCCACCTCTTCCCCCTCTCCCAGCAGCAGGTGTGGTGCGGAGAGAGAGGGGAGGAAGAGCACAGTGATTACGGGACTTTCCATTGGAACTGAGTGCTGCCTGGTCAAAGCAGATAGCAACGTGGGACGGAATTCAACCAGTGCCCACAGAGGGAGCGTTTAGACCAGCCCATGGGGGACTCGCCTATCCCAGTGGTGGGAACCTGAGTTTTCACTTGTCCTACCATGGCAGGGTAAAGCACTCTGGGGTCCTAAATAAACTTGAAAGGCAATCTAAGCCATCAGGACCACAATTCCTGGGCAAGTCCTGGTGCTATGCTGGGCTCAGAGCCAGTGGACCTGGAGGGAATGTTGGATACAACGAGCTCTAAATTTCTCTGCAAAGAATCAGTATGTTAGTACGTTCAGTTCTTTGTCGTCCATTTTAAAATTTAAATTCCTTGTAGTTTCATCAAACAACCTCTTCCACCAGTTCTAATCAGTAGTTCACATCTGTTCCCCTGGTCCCCTGCTTCATCTGCACTTATCCAAGTCACCTGCTTTGGTCACCTGCTCTGGTCACCTGCTCCAGTCACCTGCCCTGGTCACCTGCTTTGACCTGAGTCACCCCGGTCACCTGCTCTGACTCGTCCCATAACTGTCCTTCCAACCAAACTACCCACCTGCCACTTTGGCTCATACTGCTGCTCTCTTTAAAAGAGCCAATCAGAATTACCTTAGTCTGTGCGGTCTAACCCTAGCCAATGCGGGAATGACACAGCAGGAGGGGCTACCTGCATCAGGAGCCAGAACCTCTTTCCTTCCCTTGTCCAGGTGCATGCTCACCATTGCTCCACCCTTCTATTGAAGTAAACTGCCTTGCTGAGAGGATTTATATTCAAGTGCTCTTTCGTTTGCAGCATTGAAATTTTGCATACAACAGGGAACGTGACCTAGTGAGACACCAGCGGGGTGGCCAAGGGAGTGCTTGTGTAACCCCTCCTCCAACCCCAGGAAGTGGAGCTTGCAGCTCTGGGGGAGACTCCTTCCTTCCACTTGAGGAGAAGAGATGGGAGGGTAAAGAGGACTTTGTCTTGCAAGGATCCAGCTCAGCCACAAAAGGACAGGGCACCACCACCCAGAGTCCCAGGGTCCCTATTCTGGGACCGAGTTTCTGGATGACGTGTTAAGACACACTCTGGATCAGCAGGGAGCATGCTGCCTTGAAAGGAAGTACCCAGTCCAGGCAGGATTCAAAACCTGCTGACTAAAGAGCCCTTTGGCTGTGACTCATCAGCAGCAGTGCCCAGGCAGTATTTGTCATAGGTATTGGGTGAGATCCAGCGCTGTGCTGGCTTCCAGTGTGACCCAGCACATTCTTAGCTGTGGTATCCATGGGGAGAGACTGCTTCTGCTTGAGGACAGTGAGAGGGAGATTGGACATAGATAAGGAGAGATTTAACCCGGGACTAATGGGGACTTGGTCTTGCAGCTTAAGTACCAGCTTGGCTACACTGAGGTAGAGCACCCAGTCAGCACCTGGGGTCCTTGATTCTAGGCTCCTGGACTGCATTTCTGGACCTGCCCTGGGTCAGAGGGGAAGGAGCCCATTGCCCTGAAGGTAGAGACCCAGGCCTGGCAGCATTCACCATAAGGTTACTGAAGAGCCCTTGGACCTTGAGGGAACATCAGTGGTAGCCAGGTAGTGGTCACCACAAGCCTTGGGTGAGACCCAGTGCTGTGCTGGCTTCAGGTCTGACCGAGTGCACTCCCAGGGGTGGTGGCCACAAAGGTACTTGTGCCACTATTCCCCCAGCTCCAGGTAGCTCAGAATGGAGAGAGTGACTTTGTTTCCTTGGTGTAAAGTAACAGAAGATAACAAGAGTCTCTTCCTGGTAATCTAGTAAGATTTCCTGTATCATACCCAACACCACCAAGGTGGTACTTCTGTAAGTCTGCAAGAGTCACAGTGCTACTGGGTTTGTGGTGCCCCCGAATGCAGATATAGCTGCAGTGGCCAAAGACTTAGATCACAACACTCAATTCCCTTTGACGGGTTGAAAAGCTTTCCCAAGAAGGATGAGTACAAATAAGCCCAGGCTTCAGATGATAATAAAAACCTAGCTCTTTAGTTCCCAGACACCAGCTGGTTTCCAGCTTTATCCATGTCCCTACAAAGGACACAAACTCATCGTTTTTGATGGCTGTATAGTATTCCATGGTGTATATGTGCCACATTTTTCGTGTCCAGTCTATTATCGAGGGCTTTTGGGTTGGTTCCAGGTCTTTGCTATTGTAAACAGTGCCACAGTGAACACATGTGTGCATGTGTCCTTACAGTAGAATGATTTATAATCCTTTGGATATATACCCAGTAATGGGATTGCTGGGTCAAATGAAATTTCTATGTCTAGGTCCTTGAGGAATCGCCACACTGTCTTCCACAATGGTTGAACTAATTTATACTCCCACCAACAGCGTAAAAGTGTTCCTATTTCTCCACGTCCTCTCCAGCATCTGTTGTCTCCAGATAGTTAATGATCGCCATTGTAACTGGTGTGAGAGCCCCACCAATTTAAACTCTCCAGCAACGTATAAATTTGGGTGCCTATTTCTTTATTTCCTCACAAGGCAGAGATAAGGTGAACCCCAGGCTCTTCATGATTATGATGGCTTCCCTTCTGGTTCCATTTTTGAAGGATAATGAGGGGTTTTTACTTAGAAGGAGGTCTTTCAGATCCTTCACGTTTAACATCTATAAGACACATCTTTCCCTTGCTGGTAATGCTCTCAGATGGCAAAGTGTGGATGATAAAGTCTTTATTTCTATATTATCACTGAGAAGCAAAAGAAAATAAACAGGAGGGAAGAAGACTCCTGGCACAGAAAAATGAGCACAAAAATGATGTAATAAAAACTAAAGAAAAAGTGGTTTTCAAGGGAGAAGGAGCACTCTTTAGAAGCAAACGCCAAAGAGTTGTAAAGTAACCTAATGAGAGGAGAGTATTTAATGGAAATGGCAGTATGAAGGTCACGCTTATCATCCTTCATTGGTGTTGTGGTGACAGGTGAAATTTCAGCAGGCTGATAAACAATACAAGATAAGGAAGTGGAAAATGAGTGTAGATGGTCCTCTTATGAAGTTTACTTAAGAGAGGAAGGAAAGAGATAATATCTAAGTAGAGTTATGTGTAAGGTCAATATATCTTAAAATACAGGTAGAAGAGAGTAGCGCATTTTGTAACTTGAGGTAAAAAAAGGTTGAAAGAAGAGATTAAAAATGCATGTGAGTGTGGCCAGCTGTGGTGGTTCATGCCTGTAATCCCAGCACTTTGGGAGGCCAAGGCAGGCAGATGACTTGAGGCCGGGAGTTTGAGACCAGTCTGGCCAACATAGTGGAAACCTGTCTCTATTAAAAATATCAAAATTAGTCAGGTGTGGTAGCACATGCCTGTAGTCCCAGCTACTCAGGAGGCTGAGGCACGAGAATCACTTGAACCTGGGAGGTAAAGGTTGCAGTGACCTGAGATCGTGCCACTGCACTCCAGCCTGGGTGACAGTGAGACATCATCTCAAAAAATAAAAAATGTGCGTGTGAGAGAGGACGTTTTATAGACCAAGATCCTTGAGGCAGTGGATGAATATGAAACTAGCCTGTGATGGTCCTGGTAGCAGCAGTGGCTAGGGCATAGGCAGGATATTTTAATTAGGAAACAAAGCTTAGCCAGAGAGGAGGGCCAGAGAAGTGACAGGTAAGCTACAGGAAGCAACAGATTATACAGACCAAGATCCTTGAGGCAATGCATAAATATGAACCACATCAGGGTTCTTTTATTGTCTTATTTATTGACTGGACATCTGGAAGAAGTAACCTTGGGTAGAAAGAGTGCCCCTTCCCCTGGAAGAAGGAAAATGGGTGGGCGAGGATTCTGATGTGTTTATTATAAGCGATAGGGAAGTAAACCGTTCTAGCCTGGTGAACTTCGTTTTCTCAGTGAAATCAAATACAGGGTCATGTGCTAAGAAGGAGAGAGGAAATAATAGGGTTGGGGGTGTCTGTGGACAGCAGAATTTTTGAATAATCACAAAGGGGAAAAAGAGGCATCTGCCTAGAGATAAGACATAGCTGGGCAGCCCTGCGAGCTTGGGTGAGGCAGGAGGTCACACATTTTTAGTGACTTCAGTCTGTACTATCGCATGATTTTAGGCAGTAACCCACACGAGGTTAGTTGTAATAACAGAGAAATCAAATGGCAAGAAGGATGGAGGAAGAGGATGTCACAGTGTGGTTTTTCAGGGCAAGAAAAAAGGTGTCAGGAAAGAGAGTTAGCCAGAAGTGGTCAAGAAACCCAAATAATGAGGGCCCTAAAGTCAGGGACGTGCAGAGGGAAAGATTTGGGAGTAATGGTGTAGGAGATGAACTAAAACGCTGCAGTGGACATTTTTGTACATGGATGCTGCTTCTCTATAATAGATTCCTAAAAGTGGGATCATGAGCTGACACGTATGCCGAATCAGACATGTTAATAGATACCCCTGGATTGCTTTTCCAAAAGGCTGAAGCAATTTTACCCCCGCTGGCAATGAATGAGGGTGCTGGTCCCAGGTCCTTCTCAGCTCCACGTGTTCTCAATGTTTTGAATTCTGGCTATGATTATTACGATTTTTGTGGGGAAGAGGGATGTTAGAGCTTTGTCATTTGTGCTGTCCAGACTAGTACTGTCTTTGGGCATCTTCTCAAGTCAGTGAGTTATTTGTGTGTCCTCTGAGTTACGTGTTTATATCCTGGGGCTATTCACTCCGTCAGGGTTCTTTCACTGTCTTTTTTCTCATCAACCTGTTGGCACTCTTTGAGGCACATGCTGCCTCCTCATTTGTCAGTCATATGTGTTGCAAATGTTTTAGATTATTTGTTTTCTTGAAACATTATGAGTTTTTTTCCTTTCTAGTCATGCATTTTATATTTTGATAAAATTGTGTGTGTGTATGTGTGTGTGTGTGTGTGTGTGTGTGTGTGTGTGTGTGTTTTAGAGACAGGGACTCACTTTTTTTGCCCAGGCTGGAGTGCAGTGGTGCGATCATAGCTCACTGTAGCCTCAACCTGCTGTGCTCAAGTGATGCTCCTGCCTTAACCTCATGAGTAGCTGGGACTGCAGGTGCGCCTCACTGTGCCTGGCTTGTTTTTTTTTTTTTTTTAGTTGATAAATACAAATTATATACATTAAAATGTACAACATGTTGTTTTGAAATATATATATACATTGTAGAATGGGCAAATGAGTTAATTAACATATGCGTTACCGCACATATTTGTGTGTGGTAGTGAGAACACTTAAAATCTATTTTCTTTCTTTCTTTTTAAAAAAGATATTTATTCAGCATCATCATCAGACTATTACATTTAGCAATCAACAGCATGGCTACAAAAAAAAAAGTCTACATTAAAACCCTTGGTTGGAATGCTTTACACTTTCCACAGAACAGAAACGAAAATAATCTGTTATACAATTAGTCACAAACACAGTCCTCGAGTTTTTTTTGTGTGTGTGTATGTATTTAGACAAATACATACACATGAGTATTTGTCTAAATCATGTCTTCTTTGTAGCAGCTACGTTCTGCTGCCACTGCGCTTGGCTGAGTTCACAAATCTGTTGCAACCCGTAGCTTCCCCATCACTTCTCTGGCTCTCCTCTCCTGCGAAGCTTTGTTTCCTAATTAAAATCTCCTGCCACTGCCATAGCTACTGCTGCTACCGGAACCACCACAGCCACCTTGGTTTCGTGGTTTGGCAAAGTATTGGCCGCCACCACCACAGGGGCCAGAGCTTCTGCCTCCAGAGATTCCTACCTTCATGGGTCCAAACTTTGAAGACTGATTGTTGTAACTGCCAAAATCATTGTAGCTTCCACCACCTCCAAAATTTGCTCCCATCATTACCAAATCCATTACAGCCATCTTCACTGCCACCATATCCACCACTGCCACGGATGCCACCAAAGCCACCACGACCACTGAAGTTTTCTCCATGACTAAAGTTGTCACTCCCACTGAAACCACCTCTGTGACCACCACAAAAGTTTCCAGAACCACTTCGACTCTTGCTTAGACAGGGCTTTCCTAACTTCACAGCCTTGGCCATGGATAGTATGGTGTTTCCGAATGACAGTCTTATCCACGGAGTCACAGTCGCCAAAGGTTACAAAGGCAAAGCCCCTTTTCTTGCCACTGCCTTGGTCAGTCATGATTTCAATCACTTCAGTTTTTCCATACTGTTCTAAAGAATCTCTTATGTGATGTTCTTCTTCAGGGTTTTCTTTGATGATGCCAACAAATACCTTTTTCACAAGTAAGTGGGCACCTGGTTTTAAAGAAAAATGGAAGTGGTGGTCGTGGGGGTGGTTTCAGCGGAAGTAATGTAATTACTGTCACTGAATTATACTCTTAAACATGGTTAAAGTGATACACTTGTTATTATGTACGCTGTATCACAATAAAAATGATAGCCCCCCCGAAAAATGGCTTCTTTGAGGCACATGCCACCTCCCCATCCCACCCACCACCCCTTCTCATCACTGTCATCTTCAAACCTTTTCCCTCCCTCTCAGTGATCCAAGATTTTGCCCAGAACTCAGTTTGTCTTCTCTCTTCCAAGTTAGATATCACAACAGCAAAAATTAATTAAAGATCAAAATGTGAAACCAAATAATTAAAGCTGGGTTAAGAGAGGACCGGGCACAGTGTCTCACGCCTTCAATCTCAGCACTTTGGGAGGCCACAGTGGATGGATCACCTGAGGTCAGGAGTTCGAGACCAGTTCAGCCAACATGGCGAAAGCCTGTCTCTACTCAGTAGGCCAAGGCATGAGAAACACTTGAACCCAGGAGGAGGAGGTTGCAGTGAGCCGAGATCATGCCATTGCACTCCAGCCTGGGCAATGGAGTGAGACTGTCTCTAATTACTTAATTAATTAATTAAAGATAGAAACTTAATAGACAAAAATTTTGGAAAAATACAAGTAAATCCCAAGCGGGTGATTCTAGGTAGAATACTAAAATCCACAATAAGGGGAAACATGACAGTTTTGACTTTATTAAAACTTAAAATGAGAAGAGGGGATTGGGGAGATGTTGGTCAAAAGATACAAAATTTCAGTTGGAGAGGAAGAATAAGTTCAAGAGATCTATTGTTCATCAAGGCTCACTGCAACCTTCTCCCCCTAGGTTGAAGTGATTCTCACGCCTTGGCCTACTGAGTAGCTGGAATTACAAGCACGCAGCACCATGCCTGGCTAATTTTTGTATTTTTAGTAGAGACGGGATTTCGCCATATTGGCCAGGCTGGTCTCGAACTCCTGACCTCAGGTGAACCATCCACTGTGGCCTCCCAAAAGTGCTGAGATTGCAGGCGTGAGACACTGTGCCTGGTCCTCTCTTAACCCAGCTTTAATTATTTGGTTTCACATTTTGATCTTTAATTAATTTTTGCTGTTGTGATATCTAACTTGGAAGAGAGAAGACGGACTGGGTTCTGGGCACAATCTTGGATCATTGAGAGGGAGGGAAAAGGTTTGAAGATGACAGTGATGAGAAGGGTAGTGGGCGGGTTGGGCAGGTGGCATGTGCCTCAAAGAAGCCATTTTCCGGGGGGCTATCATTTTTATTATGATAAAGTGTACATAATAGCAAGTGTATCACTTTAACCATGTTTAAGAGTGTAATTCAGTGACAGTAATTACATCCACCATGTCGTGTAGTCATAATCACTATCCATTACAGGAGCCAGTTTTTTTTTTTTTTTGAGACAGAGTCTCACATTGTGGCCTGGGTTGGAGTGCAATGGCACAATCTTGGCCCAGTGCAGCCTCTGCCTCCCGGATTCATGCAATTCTCTTGCCTTGGCCTCCCACGTAGCTGGGATTACAGGCATACACCCCTGCACCTGGCTAATTTTTTGTATTTTTAGTAGAGACAGAGTTTCATATGTTGGCCAGGCTGGTCTCGAACTCCTGACCTTGTGATCTCCCTGCCTTGGCCTCCCAAAGTGCTGGGATTAAAGATTTGAGCCACCATGCCCGGCCTAAAGGAACCATTTTTCTATGATGAAGAAACAGTGGTCTGGAGTCAGCAAGGAAAATAACCGTAACAAAAGTGCTTGACTTTCCTCTTTTCGCCACTTCCTATCTCCTTGCAACTTAGTAACATCATTTTGAGAGGACATATTTTTTAAGAAACGGTTGGGCTGCAGTTAATGCAAAGAGGAGTGGAGATGATCTGTGTAAAGGTTGTTAAGATAGGGTAACCTGTTTTCAGTGTAACGGCGGTTGCATTGAGCACACCAGACAGGATCCCCGGCACGGGATAGTGAGAGAATGGTCAAATTGTGGAGGCCTAGGTTGCCATGGCCCGAGAATTTGGGAATTTGTTGGAATTTCCCTGCAGGGCTGCTGCACATGGCGAGGAATCAACCCCCAGACACTCCCGCGAGTCCCCTGGCCACCCAGCCGCGGGTTTTGGCTGAGAGGAGCAAATGCCCTTTCTCTTCGGAGCTGAAAAACTCAGTCTCTCATTTAGCTGTGAAAACAACAGTTTGGTTTTTTATGCAGATGCACACAGATAAACCAAATCAAGATAAATTTTAGGAAAAAAAGCAATAGAGAATAAATCAAGGACTGTCAACCAAAGGGAAGGCTGGGGCTCAGGAGGACTTACCGGTCCCACTGGAGAAGTTTGAACTCAGTGGGGCTTCAATGGGCCCCTGCCGGTGACTTAGCTCCGGTTTGGGGCAACTCTTTCAGTGTCCTGAGTCTTCTCTGAGGCCCCATGTATTTGGGTGCAAAATATTGTCAACAAAAAGAGTAAAACTCTGTAAAATATTTCAAGAGATTTATTCTGAGCCAAATATGAGTGACCATGTCCCATGTCATGGCCCTCAGAAGATCCTGAGAACAGGTGCCCACGGTGATCGGGACACAGCCTGGTTTTATATATTTCAGGGAGGCATGAGACATCAATTAAATACACTTAAGAAATACATTGGTTTGTGGGGCGTGGTGGCCCATGCCTATAATCTCAGCACTTTGGGAGGCTGAGGCGGGCAGATTACCTGAGGTCGGGAGTTTGAGACCAGCCTGACCAAAATTGAGAAACCCCGTCTCTACTAAAAATAGAAAATTAGTGGGGTGTGGTGGCATGTGCCTGTAATCCCAGCTACTCTGGAGGCTGAGGCAGGAGAATCGCTTGAACCGCGGAGGTTGCGGTGAGGAGAGATCGCGCCATTGCACTCCAGCCTGGGTAACAAGAGCCAATCTCCATCTCAAAAAAAGAAAAGAAAGAAAGAAAGAAAGAAAGAAAAAGAAAATACATTGGCTTTGTTCAAAAAGGTGAGACGACTTGAAGCGGGGGCTTCCAGGCTACAGGTAAATTTAAATATTTTCTGGTTGACAATTGGTTGAATTTGTTTGACTGGTGGTAATTTCCTAGTGCTGCCCTAAGAACGTATCATAAACTTGGTGGTTAAAGACAGCAGAAATATATTGTCTGAGAGTTCTAGCGGTTCAAAGTCAAGGTGTTGGCAGGACTTGTTCCTTCTGGGGGAGAATCTGTTCCATTCATCTCCCCCAGCTTCCAAGAGCTCCATGTGTTCTTTGGGTTGTAACTGATGACTCAAATCCTCTCTCTTCAAATGTCTTCAAATGGCATTTTTCCTGTATCTTTTTTTCACATGATCATCTTCCAATAAGGACACCAGTCATACTGGATTAGGGGCTCGCAGTACTCTAGAATGACCTCATCTTTAACTAATTACAGCTTCGATGACCCGATTTCCAAAGAAAGTCATATCCTGTACTACTGGGGGTTAGGACTCCGACTTCTCTTTTTCTGGGAGACGTAGTTAACCCATAACAAAGACCGGGGATTGTTAGAAAGAAATGTTGAGGTTGATTGTGGAGTCTAAGTTTTATTGTGCAGGGCAAGCTTTCAGATAGCAGACTTCAGAGAGAGATAGCACGTTGCAAAATGTTTCTTATCAGACCTAAAAGCGTGCCTGGCTCTTAGTTGATTATCTCCTGGATCTGGAAGGAAAAGAAGGAAAACAAAGGGGAATGGGGATTCTCTATAGAATGTGGATTTTTCTCACAAGAGACTTTGCCGGGCAATTTCAAGGCATGACCAGGAAATATATTTTGGGGTTAAATATTTTTTTCCTTGTCTCATAATGTTATGCCAGAGTCAGATTGAAAAGTAAGTCACGATACATGGGGTCAAATAAAACCCATCTGATGAGAACTTACGGTTTGTAGGGAGGGCATGACTCCCTAGACCCCTGAGGTAAGAATTTGGACAAGAGAAAATTCAGAGCTTAGTCCTTCTGACTAATACCGAAATCTGTATTAGTCAGAGTTCTCCATAGAAACAGACTCAATAGGATATAGAAAGATATTTATCATGAGGAATTGGCTCATGTGATTTTAGAAGCTGAGAAGTCCCACAGTCTGGTATCTGTAAGCTGGAGACTTAGGAAAGCTGATGATGTGGTCCAGTCTGAGCCCAGAATTCTGAGAACCAGAGGAACTGATGGTGTGAGTTCTAGGCTAAGTCCAAATTCCTGAGAACTTGAGGTCTGATGGTATAAGTTCCAGTCAAGTTTGAAGAGCCGAGAATCGAGAGTGCTGACGGTGTAGGTCACAGTCCGAGGGCAGGAGATGACTGGGACCCCAGCTCCAGCAGTCAGCAGAGAGAGAGACAGGGGTGGCGACACACACACACACACACACACACACACACACACACACACACAGAGAGAGAGAGAGAGAGAGAAAGAGAACTGTTCCTTCCTTTTTGTTCTGTTCAGAGTTTCGTTGAACTGGATGATGCCCAGCCATGTTGGGCATCTGCCTTACTCAGTCCACAAATTTAAATACTAATCTCTAGTGGAAACACCTGAACAGACACACTCAGAAGTAATGCTTAACCAGATATCTGGATATTTCATGGCCCAGTTAAGCTGACACATGAAATTAATCATCACAGAAGCTCGCCTATGAATAATTGATTTTTTTTGAGGGTGCAAAAAGCTACTCAGTGATGAGTACAATAAAATATTAGAAAGAGGTTTTTATTTTGGTTGACTCAGAATTTTGGCTAATATCTAAAGCTGACAACATTAGGTGTTAAGAAATCCTATATTCTAAAGAAGGTTCTTTGCGTGCCCTACAGGACTTTCCAAACTGGTCTGAAAACAATTATCAACAGCCCAAATCAGGAGAAGATAGAGACTGACTGAAACCACCTTTGCAAAGTTATAACAGGAAGAGAAATCTGACATAGTTGACTCCATTTTGCTTATAACCTACAGGTTGGCTTTG